AAAAAAAAAAAAAAAAAACAAAAAACACAAAGAAAGAAATGCAACTTCTGGGTTTTCTTTATGGCCCTTTATTTTTCTCTTGAAAACTCTACCCCATCTCTGGTGAGCTCAGGGTACTGGAGGAGCAGGTGTGGGAACCCCAGCCCCTCATGATGTAAAGCATGGTAGGCTTACTGCTGGACCCACACCCAGGGTTCCTCCTCAGTCTGCCCTCCCCCTGAGGCCTGTCCCTCCTTCTGACTGTAGTGGAATCAGCCTCTCCAGTTTCTGGTAACTTCATCAGGGCTGCATCATGTTGCTAAGTCTAGAGATAACATCTCCCCACTGGTAACCCTTCCCTGCCAGAGCCCCCTGAGGCTGGACCAGGGGTGTGGGGTGAATCTGGGGGTGTCAGGCAGAAGCAGGTTGACTGGGCCTCTGGACCAGTGTTTAGGAACACTGCCATTTGACCTGGGACCCCAGGAAAAGGAGGAGCAGGCAGGAGCTGATGGGCAGCTGGGAAGAGAGTTGTGGGCCACAGGGTCCCAGCACCCTCGCGGGCCTGCTGACACACTTCCCAGCCAGGCTGCAGCCAGACCCACCTCCCCAGGCCTTGCTAGAGGATCCACCTTAACCTGGGCCCTGGGCGGGGCGTTCTTGATGCCATCTTTGCAGAGCCAGCCCAGGGCCTTGTGTGGGGCACCGGCAGCTGCCAGCTCGCCTGGGGCTTCCCAACACCATGATCCAGGGCGCCTTGGAGACCAGTGGACCCCTCTGGGGCTGGGATGGGAACGGTGAAGATGACTGGGGTGGTGCTGTGCTCACCCTGCTGGCTCTGGCTGTGGTGGCCGCCACAGCGCTGGCTCTGCACTGGTTTGGCTCCAGACAGGACCAGGAGGTGGTGAGACGGGAGCCAACAGCCCCCAGGGGCCAGCCTGCTCAGGTGGGAGCAGCCAGGCGGGGCCCGCAGCCCCAGTCCAAGTTCTGGGGCTTGGAGGGACAGAGCTCAGGGCCGGGGAAGCCAGATTCTCCAGGAAGAGGCCAGGCGGCCCCTGCTCCAGCCGAAGCCCGCGACCAGGCGTCCCTGCGGGGCAGAAGTCTGGCCCTTCCTCCGCTCAGGACACCCAGCGAGGTGGCCAGCAGAGGGACCATGCGACAGCAGCGTGACCCCATCCCAGGAGCCCTGCGAGGGGACGGAAGTGAGCCTCCGAAGCCAGACGGTGACCTCCAGGCTAGAAGCAAAGCAAGGGGGACCCCCGCACCCCTCCTGATCCACTTCACTCCTCGGAGTCCTGGATGCGAAGCGGCGCTGCAGGTGGATACCGGCGGCATGGGCGCGCGGGGCAGAGGCCGGAGCGGCCGGCGGCGGCGCGGGGACACAGGCTTGGGGGACAGACGTGGCCGCCCTGCCAGGCCCGATCCCCTGCGCCTGGGCGCCGCCGCCAGCGTGTGGGACGCGGTGGACGCGGCTGCCGCCGCCCGGGGAACTCAGGGGGCGCGGGGACCCGAGGAGGGCTTGCCCTGGGTGAACCCTGGCTGCCCCCCAGGCCGGGGGAATGCGTGGGCTGAGGCCTCAGGGCGGGTCGGGACCGAGATGCACGGAGATCCCTGTGTTGGGAAGCGAACGGGGTCCCCGAAAAGCGAGGACAACAAGCAGGCAGCCCAGGGGTCCTGTCCGGGCCACCCCCCAGCAGCCCCCGCCCCCGCTCCTTCAAACCCGTTGCCTTGCAGAGTCACCCAAGGGCCTTCTGAGGCCCCAGAGCGCGGAGCGGCGCCAGCCCACTCTTCAGCGCCGGGCGTGGCTTCAGCTGCGACCCTAGACCTAGACCCAGCCCCAGTCCCATCCCTCCCCTGCTTCCTATCCCCAGCGCCAGCCCCAGCCTCACCCACAGCCTCAAATTCAGCCCCAGCCCCAGCCCCAGCCCCAGCCCCAGCCC